CTTACATTATTCATCAATATCAATTACAATAGTAAAACCCTCCCAAGAATCCCCTCGCACTCTCAACCGTCTACCACCGCCTCCGCCGTTGCCACCTTCGCACTGCTCCGGCTCCGCTTCTTTGGGTTTCTCTGTTTCCTCAGCGATTCTCATAGGCATGGACATTTTTGGGATATTAGAATCTCCCTTGACTGCTGTCATTGTTTCCTTTGTCGCTGCGTGTTGAGATCGAATCTCAAAAATCGATTGCTGAAATCCTTTCTCTAGTTGCTCTTTGATCATCGCACCATCTGGACGATCGGCATCCAGATCACCTTCCTCGACCACACACGATTGCTGGTCTACGATCTCCTCACCAGTGACAAGAGAGGCGATTCGCAGAAACCCTACGTCTTCGTCAAGATTAGAGGCCGCCACTGATCAGAATCAAGATCATAGGCTGCCGCTAATCGGAAGCAGCAGATGACAGAGCAAGGGAGAGCAGCAACGATGGCTTCGACGGTGGTCTACCCATCTCCTCCTCTATCTGGCGATCCAATGTGACCTGTTGATCAATTTTTTATTATTTTTTTGAGAATTTGATCAATTTATTGATTTATTTATTGTATGTTAATCTTTTGAAAAAATAATGTTGTGTGAACTAATTACTGCAAATTTCATGATGCACTGCTAGTTTTTTTTTGAAGGTCAATCTTGCGATTGTACTAATGAATCAAAGCCGAAATAGCGTCAGGTGGGATAGCATCCCAGTACATAGCTTGATCCTGTGTAAATGCTAACGAAGCTAAAGTATGCGCATGTAAATTAACCTGTCTAGAGATGTAATTTAAAGCAATACGATTAAATAAAGACATAAGTGTCTGCATTGGTCAATCGTGACCCCAACGTACGAATGGATCGGCGTGTGATGGTGCCGGATAATCGTAGTCAACTCCATGCAATCTGTGAGTAAACTTACTGATGTGTTGTTCCGTTCAAGTAACCAAGACAGTGCTTCCTTGTATGCCTGTGCCTCTGCCATAAGTGGTGAGAAACAAATCGGTAATTTGTCATTCCTTGCTGCCACAAAAGAGCCATCTGGCGCTATTAATAATATGTCGTACGTAGCCTCGCCTGTGTCGTGACGAAAGCCCGCATCCACATAACACCGTAGACCACCTTCCCCCGGTTCGGTTAATGGCACCGACGCCGCAGCCGGCTTGGTACGGTAGTCCTGGGCAGCGCCGTACGCCTGAAGTGCTGCGGCTGCTGCTCTGGCTAATTGGGTAGGTCGCGTCATAGATCCCTTCCAGACAGCCGAATTTCTGGCTCTCCATATATAGTATAACACCCCTACCATCAATCGGGTCTGCTCCTCCGTCAAGATCGCCAAAGCCCCTTTTAGCCATGTTGTAAAAGAGTTTGCAATAATATTAGTGATAGACAATTGTGTTATATTCCAAACAAGTCTAGAATATTCACAGAGCACTAAAGCATTTAACACATCTTCATGATCTAAACCACACATTGGGCATATTGGGTCTACCTCTACCCTTTTAAATATCAAGTTAATTGTAGTTGGCAAAATTTCACATATGGCTCTCCACAAGAAAGTCTTCCATTTGGGGGGGACTTTTAATTTCTACATTGAAATCCATTTATCAAACATCACGGGGTTATTTTCATAGTCACCCACAATACGCCTATAAGCATTCTTCACAGTATATGTCCCCTTTGGGTCACTCATCCAATACCATGAGTCCTCGTAATCCGGACTAATAGGGATCATATTTATTCGTTCCACATCCTCAGGAATAAACAAGTCAGATAAAATATGTGGATCCCATGTGTGTGTCTGTAAATCAATTAATCCTGCAACCCGTGCCTCTCTCAACTGCTCTGGCATTTCTGTTTGAATCAAAGGGCTAGGATTATCTCGTAACCACAGATGCCCCCATATCAACGTTGTCTGTCCATTCCCAATTCTCCTTCGCACCCCTGAGATCACCATTGCATGGGCTGCCATTATATTTCTCCAACAGTAACTTGGGCAATTACCAATAGTTGCATCAGTAAAACTGGTTGTGGGATAATACCTTACTTTATAAATTTTTGCTGCAAGTGTTTCTGGGTCTGTTAGAAAACGCCATGCCTGTTTTCCCAGCATAGCTAGATTAAAAGCCCTAAGCTCTTTAAAACCCATACCACCATACTTTTTCGGTACGCACAACCTGTCCCAAGCCTTCCAATGTATTCCCTTTTCTCTTCCATTCCCCCACCAATACTTATTCATAGTTCGCTCAATTGACTGACAAACTGTCTCAGGTAACAAAAAAACACTCATTGAAAAGGTAGGCATAGATTGCGCTACACTTTTCAACAATACTTCCTTACCAGCCTAAGAAAGCAACTTTTTACTCCACGAACCAATTCGCTGCCTGATCTTCTCTTCCACGTGGGAAAAAACAACTCTCTTATTCCTCCCCACAAAGGAAGGTAAACCCAAATATTTCCCAAAGTTGGGTGCTTGCACCACCCCCAGATAATCCGCTATATGTGCCCTGTGATCCTCCTGGGTATTTCTGCTAAAGCATATATTAGATTTATTATAGTTCACCACTTGGCCTGACAATTTCTCATACCTTGCAAGGCTTTGCCTTATAACTCCCGCCTCCTGGATATTTGCTTTGAAAAATAGTAGACTATCATCCGCAAAAAATAGGTGTGATACAGGCGGTGCCCCCCTAGCTACTCTGCATCCATATATAGAGCCTGCTAACTGTTCATACTGTAATATCATCGAGAGAGCCTCTGCACAAATAATAAACAAATACGGAGAGAGAGGGTCTCCCTGCCTGAGACCCCTGGTTGATTTTACGCACCCCCTGCCATACCGTTGACCATTACAGTATAATTAACAGTCGTTACACACAGCATAATGAGTTTTATCCACTTCTCACTAAAACCCATAACGGTCAGCATCCTTTCTAGAAAGATCCACTCCATTTTGTCATAGGCCTTTGACATATCTAGTTTCAATGCACTCCAACCCACTACACCACATTGCTTTCTATTTAGATAATGCCCCACCTCAGCCGCCACCAAGATGTTGTCAGTGATAAGCCTTCCCGGAATAAATGCACTCTGGGATTCTGAGATCAATCCTCCCATAAGCGCTTTCATCCTATTTGCTATCATCTTAGCCATAACTCTATAAACGACATTACTCAACACAATCGGCCTTAAATCTGCAACTGTCTCAGGCACCTCTTTCTTAGAGATCAAAACAATGTTAGTATCATTCAAACCCTCGGGGAATACACAGGAATTCAAGGCATTCGTTATAAAGCCAGATACATCTCCTCCCACTACCTCCCAAAACTGCTGGTAAAAACCCGGGTTTAACCCATCCGGGCCCGGTGCCTTATCCGGATACATTGAAAAAAGAGCCTCTTTTACCTCATCAGTTTCAAAAGGGCGGTCTAGCATCATATTCTGCTCCAAGGTCACTCGTGGGTTTAGGACCCCAAAAAGCGGATCGTCACAGCTCAATCCATTAGAGGCAAAAATATTCTCAAAATATTTTCGTATAGTGGAATGCATATCCTCCCCCTCCACCCAGTTACCAGCATCACATTTAATACTAGAAATAAAATTCTTTTTCCTACGAGCAGAGGCATACCTGTGATAGAATTTTGTGTTCGCGTCTGCCCCGCGAAGCCAATGTTGCTTAGCTTGCTGTCTCCAGAACACATCCTCCTGGATCTCAATTCGTTTCAGGGAATTCTCAATCTGTTGATACTCAGCTAGCGCCACCAAATCTCGCCTATTCCGAATGGTATCTTGCCTCTGTTGTAGCTGCTTAATTCGTTTACCGAATTTATGAAACTAGTCTCCCCCCCCCCCCCCCCGCCCCCCCCCCCCCACCGCATTAACTTCTCTCCACACAACTGCTGATAATACAGCAATCCTCCCGTTCTCCCCTCCTGCCAGGCCGTTTCTACCACCTCTTTGCAGCCTTCATCTAACAACCAAGCCATCTCAAACCTGAATCTCCGCGGCCCCCTTCCCCTTGGCATGCAAATCGCATTTATACTGAGGAAAAGAATCGAGTGATCCAAGGCCCGGGTCCGAATGTTCTCCAACCATGCGTTCTCATTCATCAGACCCCAATCATTCGTTATTAGGGCCTTGTCCAACCTCTCCTCTATCCAATTTGGCGTCCCCTTTCCCTTTTCCCACATAAACTGGTGGCCTCTCATTGGCATCTGCAACAAGCCACATCCATCCACAGCATCTCCGAAACCCCGTAATAGGCTATTAGGGTACGGATTTCCCCCCTTCTTCTCATGTTGATATAGGAGATTATTAAAGTCCCCTATCACCACCCAGGGCAGCAAGGATCTATTTTTCAGAGTGCCAAGTAAATCCCATGTCTCCTCCCGCCTATTTCGCTCGGAGATACCATATATACATGTCATGCGCCATAACTTATTAAAAAAGCTAACTTCCACATCAATATGACTCTGCGAGTAGCTTAATAGTCTGACCGTATTATTCTTCTTCCATAAAAGCGCCATTCCTCCACTCAACCCATCGTTATCAACATAAAACAAACCCTCATACCCAAGCGTAACACGGATCCGTTCTGCATGTACCCGCGGCACCTTGGTCTCCATCAAAAACACAAAATCAGGCTTCTTACTGGACACTAGGCCCACAATCTGTCGAATTGTGCGTGGATTGCCCAAGCCACGACAGTTCCAGCTCAAAGTACTCATGATGATGGGCGGGGCTGGGCACCAGCTCCCGCCATGGACAAGTTTTTTGAGCCATCTTGCATTGTGATATCACCCCTACTACCCATATCCTCCTCCCCATCCACCTGCGCCTGCCGTCGGCGTTTCGCCGATGCCACCACACATCCCTCCACCACCTTTCCCGGTCCACCCCCATTCTCCAAATCCACGACAGCCGTAACACCAACCGGTTTCCGAGACACCACCGGACGCAGATGCCCCCTACCGGTACGAGCCAACTATCCCCAACCGCTCTAGGAGCGCTCCGGATCCACCAGCACGCATATCCGGACCATACGGGTACCGTTCCAGTGGTATTCCTGCCTCCCTTGCATGAATGCAAAACGTGTGTAGATGCCCCATGAACCCACAAAAATAACAGAACTTATGCAACCATTCATACCGGAAAGTGACCCATGCGGTAGTCTTATCCCTCTTCATCAACTTCATCCCCCTTCGTAAAGGGCGATCAATCGGTATGGATACCCGAATCCGGTGGAAAGTTAACCACGGAGCCCCTTCATATCGGTCATCATGTTTAATAAAAGTGCCCATAAAATTCCCCGCTTGTTCCAAAATAGCCTGCGACGTATATCCCCTGGGCATATCATGTAGCTGTATCCACATATCAATCATATTCAGTTGGATATCCCCCGGCAACACACCATCCCGGACTTCTCGACAAATCAATGCATTATTCTCGAACGCCCAGGGACCACCATTCAAAACATAATCCATGTCTGTTTTATGAAAGAAAACGAACAGGAATAAACCTTTTTGGATCTCCGTTACTTGCACTCCTTTAACCGGCTGCCACACAGATGCAAGAACCTGTCTCATAAAATCAAGCTTTATCATCTTCTGCGTGAGAAAACGGCCAACCACCTTCCATGTCTCTTCCTCCTCACCCACCTCACCGTCGTCCTCTTCACCCACTGCCGGCACAAACGCAGCAGTCTCCTCCTTTAACGCCCAGTCCGCCCAGCGATCGGTAATTGCCGCCACACCCGCCTCATCGTCCGCCGCAACTTCCGGCGTAGGAGGCCGCATGGTGACATCGTTCTGCTGCTGCAACCCTTGGCCCTCATCTCCAATCATTCCTTGCGTATTACCGGCCATACGACCGAACGGTTCCACCGGCGACCTTGCGAAAACCTAGAAACCCTAGTATGGATGCGAAAACCCTAGATGTGTTCTAGAGAGAGATTGAATAATTGAAGTTTTTTACAATGATGCACTGGTAGTTTAATTTGTCCAGTAACATGCATTTATTTGGAGGGTAAAATAGGAAATACTAATCTTAGGCTATTCCTAAGAACTCATGATGAATAGCCTAATACCAAGGGGTGCCAGGAATCTATATTCTCCTTGCAAGGGGAATAGGTCATTCCCAGGAACATTATTCCTAAGAATAAAAGATTTTACCAAACAAAGGAATATGCCTATTACCAGGAATGCTATTCCATTTCAGGCCTATTATGCGAACCAAACGTGCCATTAAGGAAATAATGTGATACTTTCGAGAAAAGATGCAATGTAACACTTTTAAATCAAAATGTAATATTTAAGAGTTGAAGAGTTACCAATAAAGGAAATAATAATATGTATGAAAAATTCAATATATTTTATAAGGAAAAGATTATATATATACTCTCATTTTTAATTCTCAACTTTTATTCTCACACTTAAAAACTCTGTTGTACACACATTTATAAGAACAGACATAAAAAAAAAATAGCCTATCAATACTCATCACATCATGACTACATATAATAGAACTCATTTTATAAATAAGAATTCATTTTGAATAAAAACGATACAATCACCCAATCCAAACTCACCACAATCATTGTAGTTGCTCTAATTTTGTGGCAACCACGTAGAGAAAATCTAAACTCAAATTGCCGTTTTGGGGGCTATTTTTATTTTCTAATCGGGAAGCCAATGATTCTAGATAGCTAAACGTAGGACTATCATCTGCCGCACAAAAGGCCGCACAAAACACCAAAACGGCTTTAATCATTGTCTCTTTTCCTCAGATTCAAAACATATACCCCGCACCCCACCTCTCGTGAAAATCCGCTATCCCATAAAGTGCTGCCACGTTGCCACAAAAATCCCAGTCCTCCAATCAAGGCTCCCCACGTCATCAGATAAGAACCCATGCGCGTCTTTGGAGTTTGGTAATTGGTATGGGTGAGAGTATGTACTTTTGTTCAAAGTTGGGAACAAATGCCATACCAAGCTGCCCATAATTAACAATTACAAAATTGCCCCATGCTGGAAAATGAAACAACAGCCCAATAGGGATAAGGTAATGAAAATATTACTTGAATTTTCAAATTTTATTATTTACTTTTACTCCCTTACTCAAATTTTGATACTAATATTTTTTATGAGATTCACAAGATAAAGATAATTTATCATCTCTTGTTATATCAAGAATAAAAGTGAAGGAGAGTCCATGTAATAAAACTCTATTTAATGTTAAAAATGTCTTGGACAACTCAACTAAATTGGTCAAACTATTGACTTTTTAACCATAATATTATAAATTTGACTCTAACGGAAGCAGTCTATTGTTATTTTAGACTTATTTTCTTATATTCCTTTTTTGGTTAGATTTACAAGACGATGGTTGCTTGTGGCAATTCAATTATCAATGTAGAAATTCATATTTACTATATTTATATTTGAACATGATTTTTTAAGAAAATAAGTCTAAAATGTCATTATTTAAAGCGGGTAACTTATTTAAAATTACAAATAAGCTATAAGCTTTCTTTGTTAAAACATGACGATCATAAAATAATAGCTTATTTTGAAATGTTACTTGGGATAACACTTCAAAATAAGCTCCAACGGACTTTTTAATTTTTTTTCGCTTTTTTTAATCTTTATTAATTTACAAAAATGACACCATTTACCCTTCATTAATTAAAATTTTAATATCTTAGTTTATCATTTTATGTCTTTTTACACTTATCAGCTAATTCAACAATTAATTTTACCAAACACTTTAATTTCAAATAATTAACTTATTAATTACTAATTTTTCAGCTAGACATGCCAAACAAAGCTTTAATGACTCAATTCTATTTTTTATTTTTTATTTTAAAAATTGAATAAATACCCTTTAAAAATTAAAATTTCATTGCGTGGAAAATTTTCAACATCATGATAGGCTTGATAATGTAAATGTGTGATATTATTCACTTTTGCATAAAATATTTTACAATATTTTATATACTAATGTTTGTAAGGGGAGGGAGAGAGAGAGAGAGATTTTAATCTTAAATATATGGAGGGGCAGTATTAATACGTAATTGCTAGCGAAATAAATTGAGTAAAAATAGGAGAAAAATAGGAAATTATGAAATTCTATTATCATTTGAGTTTCTTTTATATGTTATAGTGATAGATCTATCAAATTCAATTCTTAGATGAGTAAACTAATCCAGAATAAAAAATTACTATCATGCGAAGATAACTGTTTAGTAAATGACTGTTAGCTGATTAGGTTAGAAGGTATAACTAGTTGATAACATTAGCTGATTGTAGAAATGTGTTTGATAAATTAGCTGTTAGCTAATAGCTGTTTGATATAATTTTTTTTTTTTAAAGCTAATTGAAAAAGTTGCTTTAAGTACCTTTTTTACTTTTAGCATTTTGGAGTTACAAAAAGCTGATTAACCAAACATTTATATTGATTTTTTTAACCATGTCAAACAGCTAATAGTGGTCAAATAAATAAAAATTGACTGATAAGTTAACTATTTTACCAAACGGGGTCTAAATGATATGCTAATGTAGCAATGCAAATGAATTTATTACTTTTATTTGAATATATAATGGAAGCAAAACAAAAATATTATTTTCACTCTTTTTTTTTTTTAATACTAGTAACTCTATTACATGATCTTTCATACAGGATAGTCACTACATGTCATCTGAGCACAAAGTGCTTGGCATTATTTTCACTCTTTAAATTTGTAATCCTATTTTTATTTTTTTGAAGTAAAAAGTATATAAATAAACCTTTTTTTTTAAAAAATCAAATTAATGGTAGGGTTGACCATTTTTTTTTTCTTTTCTTAAAGAGTTTCTATTTCTTTGATTTATGGGGAAGGTCCTCCTCAAACTAATAGTATAAAATGTCTAAAGTACCATCTCTTTTTTAGCATCTCTTTAAACTTTGCACTTTTACAAGTGAGGATATTTTAGATATTTTAAATTATATTTAATGGATTCAAAAGGAAAATATTAAAATGAAACTTGGTGACATGAATAATTAAGAATTAGAAGTTACCAGCTTAATTATTAGTACACTTTCGTTTCATAGGAGAGGTTGGAGTTGTGTACTCTCGTTTTTTAAAAGAGATTAGAAAGAATGTTGAACACTGCATTCTCGTCCCTTAAGAGAGGCCGGGAGGAATGTTTTTGTACACTCTCGTCTCATAAGAGAGGCTGAGTTGTATACTCTCATTTTTTAAAAGAAATCAAAAAGAATGTTGAACACTAACACACTGTACTCTCGTCTCTTAAGAGAGGTCGGGAGGAATGTTTTGGAGAGGCGGTGAGTGTAAATGAATCATGAATGACAAACTAAAAGAGTCCAAACTGAGGAGTGAAGAGGCAGAATTGCGATAGAGAAATTGTAAGGTGTTACCCAAACATTGGGTATGGTGGTCCCTCCTCACCATTTTCCTCTGTTATCATCTCCATCACTCAACACCTAATCTCCTCTCAATCCTCACCCTCTGTTCTCTTTGTTCTCTTCTCACCCCCCACCCCGTGACTCTCATCCTTCCCTCCTCTCAATTTCCCTTTAATTATTACTCCGTGTTTATATTTAAACCGCAATTTATCTCCTCAGATATTTTCTCTTGCCTTCTGGCTTCTCTGCATATTCATCCATGCTTCTTTGCTAATCCTGTGTAGTATAAGATTACACCTCGATGACTCCAAGGTAGATTTTTGAGGTTTTGTAATTAAATTAAACCCTTAAATCCTTTTTTTTTTTGGGGGGGATTTTATAAAGGCTCTGGTATCTTCTAGTCTTTGAAAAAAATTTCACACTTTTTTAGGGTTTAGGGTTCTTCACCTTCTTCAACGTGTAGCTCTCTGACTCCCAGTATTTTGTTGCCAATTGTTGTTTCTGGGCAGAGCATCTTTTCATATTGGCCAATATGGGAATGAGAATTGGGTTTTATAGCCAAAAATGTGTGTGAAAGTGTGAAAGTCTTTTGAGTTGGATTCATTTTTCTGGTTTCTGGTTCCCCTGTTTTCTGGTAATAATGCTTTCTTCTTTGAGTGGGGGTGGGATAGGGTATAAATTGGAGCTTGAGATAATAAGGTCTCCATCGACATCGTGGGCGTCGCAGTCGTCTTCTCCGTCGTCGACTCTCTCGGAGAACAGTAATTCTCCGGTTGCAATCTCCACCCGGAAGCCTCGGACGCCTCGGAAGCGGCCGAACCAGACCTACAATGAAGCCGCGGCGCTTCTATCCACGGCGTATCCCAAGATATTCTCGGCGACGTTGAGAAACCCGCCTTGCAAGTTCACCGGACCTAACCAGCCATTTTCCGCCTCCTCCGACCTTCTCCTGCCGTTCTCCGCGCTAGACGGCGGTTGCGATGGCTTTCTCCTACAATCGCCGGTTGAGCGGATCCTGAACCGACGCCCTGCCGCTCCTCGCAAACTGCTCGCCGGCTGCGGGAGCCCTAGGGAAATCGACTCCAATTCGCTGCTGAGGTTCGAGGATTGCGATGATTTCGAGGAGGATTTTGAGTCGGAGTCGATTTTGGATGAGGAGATTGAAGAGGGAGGGATCGATAGCATCATGGGGAAGCTCAGCGAGAGCAACGATTCGGCGCCGGAGGCGGAATGGATGCGCGCCTGTTACGGATTTCCGATTGGGATGGGATTTAAGGCGATAAAGCAGGCCGATAATGGAGATTGGTGGAGATTTCCGATCGCGAGCATTAACGTCGCCGATATCACCCCGAAAGCTGAGAAATCTCCGCCGCCGGCGACGGAGAAGAAGAAGAAGAAAAAGAAAGTTGAAAAGCCGGCTGAATTTAGGGTAAACGACAAAGACTGCTCATCTTCTTCAGCTCAAAGTGCATCCAAAGAGGAGGAATCCAGCATTCCCAAGCCGAAATCGGCCGGTTTGCTCCTAAAATTGAACTACGACAGCGTTTTGACGGAGTGGACGGACCGCCCGTCGCCGTTCTCCGATGAAAGTCCGTGCTCCGACGCTGCCGGAACTGATGTCCAAGTATGTTAGTTTCACCCTCTTCTCCTCCCGCCATCATTTTCTTTAGCCACTTTACTTGTTACTTTAACTTTAAGGGGCCGTTTGGTTCACGGAATGTTAGATTACCTTAGGGAATGTTAGATTGCTGGGAATGTTAGATTACTGGGAATGTTAGATTCCTGTGTTTGGTTAAGACTGAGGTATATAATATAATTATGTTTGGTTTAGGGTTATCTTTATATATATATATATATATATATATATATATATATATATATATATGTAAGCTAACATAAAATATATATTTTTAAATAATTAGAATGAAAATAGCAAAAATATCCAAGGTTATCTCACATTACCTAAGAAAAGGAAGGGAATCACATTCCCTTCAAAATCCTATGTGGAGGGAATGTTCCATTCCGTGGGAATGTTATATTCCCTCAGATAGTATGAACCAAACATAGGAATCTAAGCTCAGGAATGTCATATTCCCATGGTTATGTAATATAACCTGAACCAAACGCCCCCTAACTTGTTTGACAATTACGGGGCGTTTGGTTCAGGTTATATAAGATAACCAAGGGAATGTGACATTCCAAAGCTCACATTCCGGTGTTTGGTTCATATTATCTCAGGGAATCTAACATTCCCAAGGAATGTCACATTCCCTCCACATAGGATTTTGAAGGGAATGTGATTCCCTTCAAAATCTTAGGTAATCTAAGATAACTTGGGTTATGTTAGTTATATATATATATATATATATATATATATATATATATATATATATATATATATATATATATATATATATATATATATATATTTATTTATTTATTTATTTTTATTATGTTATGTTAGTTTATAAAATAATTTTGTTTCTCAAGTTCAAGATTTTAGTTAATATTTTAAAATCATGTGATTATATATGATACCGTTATCTTATTTATTTATTTATTTTAATTTTTAAATTTATTAAAATATATGAAAATATGTTAAGGATATTATAGTGTGTATAAAAGATAACCCTAAACCAAACATCATTATATTACATACCCCAATTTTAACCAAACACAGAAATCTAACATTCTCAGTAATCTAACATTCCCAGCAATCTAACATTCCCTAAGGTAATCTTACATTCCGTGAACCAAACGACCCCTTAATGTCAGCGCCTAGCTACTAAATATTTTATTATTTTGAATTCTAATATAAAACTTAAAAGTTATTTTGGGTAATAAAATTGTAAATGTTTGATAATAAAAGTCAGCACGAAAAGACGAAAAATGTAACGCAAATGATAATGTAAGGACAAAAAATTTGTATGACTAACTCTTAGAAACGAATTATACAATTACTTTATAACTTAGGAACGAAAAGTGTAATTATTGCTTAAATTTATTAGAATTAATGTCATATGAGATCTTCTGAATATAGTGATTTTGTCACGTTTAGTCAATCAATTTTAAATTGACCATTCGTGATCATTAGATTTTCAAATTATTATCCTTCGTGATTTTCAATTTTCAAAATTTAATCAGTAGTGGTCTTTCTAAGAGGTTATACGTTTAGTCATGTATATCTTTCGAGTATAGTGATTTTATCACGTTTAGTCATCAATTTTTTAATTGACCATTTATGATCATTTGATTTTTAAATTATTACCATTCGTGATTCAAATAACCCGTATTATTTTTTAACTTTCAAAATTTAATTAATAGTTTATTCTTCTAAGAGATTATATACTTTTGAAAAAAGTGCATCATGGCACATAGGAATATACTAATATGGGTCCATAAGCACGTGGACTTCACACACAATTTTTAACATTATGAGTTAATGTTTAACAACTTTGAAGTATTCGCTAGTATGTACGTTACTTTTTTGACAAAGTCCCCTTTTACTTTCCAATCATTGTCCTGCCTCATTAGGTAATTAATTAATTTAAAATTGATATTATTAATATAATCTTTATATTTATTTTATATTTCATCATTAATTAATAATTATGAGTGGTAGAGTTTTTATCATTTTCAAGAGATCTGGCCAAGTAATGAATTGTAGTTGAATTTTTCATATTTAATTTATTATTTCGCCGTCATAGTTGTTATATATTATATCGAAAATTTTGTAAGTGTATTATTGTGCTTTTATATAGCTTTGGAGTTTCTTTGTAGGATTACTCGACTTGGAAGCATTTTAGCCATTCCTTTAATAATTAGCTAGCTTGGATTGGCTATTAGAATCTATGTGAAAATGAGAGAGTTGTTCACTTGTTCTTAAGACAAATTTTATTTTATATTATTTCCTACCTAAAATATGAATTGCTTTTCTATTTATTACATGTTAGGTATGCTGTTTTACTAGTAGAATAAAAAATTCTATTATATATATTATAGTTTTATTCGATATGTATTAATTAATTATTAATTTTATAAGGTACAAGAAACATAACAAAAATAAATGTTATTGAAAGTAAACTATTTTTATTATTGTTATTATTATTTTGCAAACTAATGGGATCTTTTTGGTTTATTGCAGGCTAGATTGGCACAAATAGACTTATTCTTAGAGAGCGGAGTGAGAGAAGCGAGTGTATTGCGTTATAAAGAAAAACGACGTACGCGCCTCTTCTCTAAGAAAATTAGATACCAAGTCAGAAAAGTCAATGCTGATCGACGACCTAGAATGAAGGTGTGTGCATAAAAATGTGTGTATATAATTATATATATATATATACACACACAAAGTCACACTACAAAAACTACATAAAAATGTTGTACTCAAATGTTGTATGGTGTGTGCAGGGGCGTTTTGTGAAAAGTCCAAATTCTCCCGACGATAGCGAGCAAGGATGATGACCAATAAGCCAGCAGGCATTTTTCAATTAGATAGGAGTTTGGTCACCACATTCCTTGGCATCTGTACTTTTTTGTTTATTCTTCTCGATTATGCTACTATTTTATTTTTATTTTTATTTTTATCATTATTTGCCTGATTTTGTTTTTGGACATATATTGAGCAAGGAAGATAGACTGGTTGCTAAGGGATCAAGCGGATTAAATGATTATTAATAATATATAGTCCAAAAGTCAGTTTTCCCATCTTCATTTCGTAATATATTCCTCTTTCTCCTTTCACTAATCTTCTATATTCTCGATTTCACTGTTTAATTTCGTGACTTTACTGCTTCAATTGCCTAGTGTTGCTTGCTTGCATGCCAAGTAACTTACTCCTTCCTTTTCCTTTTTTGAAATTAAAAGGATTCAATTTAACTATTACTTTCCTAAGTAAACTTTCCTTCTCCTAAACCTAATGGGATTATGCTTCCGACTGTCCTATATATATATGCATATCTATTTCACTCCAGTTAACACATACACAATTAATTAATACATAGGTGGTAGAGTAAATTTTCTATTCTATCACAATGATGACTGATGTCCTTTTCGAGGTTTTGACTCGAACAACCTTAGAAACAATGGATACGTGTAAGGTTGTTAGTAAGGAGTTGAAGGAACTCATCGACGACCCATGGTTCATGCAAACCTACTGTCTGAAAACGAGGAATATCTTTGGATATTTTGTTCAAACACTCAAAGGCAATCGCCATCTATCTGAATTTGTCCCTATCAATCCAACCTTGAACGTTCAGAATAGTGTTTCTATACGATGCACTGAGGATAACTTGAAGATCTTGGCATCTTGTAGTCAAGGAATTCTGTGTTGTAGAAAGTATGAAAACAGGTCATATCAATACTATGTTTGTAAGCCCAGCACTAGCCAACTTGTTGCATTGCCTAGTCCCAGGAAGCCAGGCCAGCTGTTTGAACGAGTTGCTTTGACAGTGCTTAAATCAAAACCTTTTCATTATCAAATAGTCAGATTCTCGGACGATCATTATTCGTCATCGGGACAATATAGTTACATATGTGAGATTTTCGATTCCAAACTTTGGACATGGAGGCAGTCCAAAAACCTTGTAACGGAGCAATGCATGGTTTTCGGCCATCAACCGTCTGTCTATGTAGGCGGGATTGTCTATTGGCTTACGAACGAAAACTCAGTTTTAGCCTTCGACTCGACAACAGAAACTCACTCGGAGTTCCCAACGCCGACAGCAGAGTTGTCGGACGACGAAGGCTACGAGAAAAAGCGAATCATGGAATACAATGGGAAGTTAGGGTTTTCGTGCGAGTACAAGTCGGAAAAACTATTGCTTTGGGAGCTAGAAGACATAAGAAATTGCGAGTGGAAGATAAAGAAAATTGTGGGAATTGATAAGGATGAGAAGAGGTTGATAGGTTGCAGCCTTGCAAACATGGCTTTGATGACTGGGTATAGGGTTCAGGTGTATGAACGGAGCGGTCTGTATTTTCCTATGGATATTTTCCCCTTCCGGTCTGACTGGGAGCCAGTTAATTTGAAGGGAGATGAGATGAGTGGGTTTTGAGGGTAGCTAGATATGACAGAATGTTTTGTTGTTTAATTTGCATGTTGTGTAGTTAGTTAAAGCATGCTCTTTTTTTTTTGTAATGTTTCATATAGAGAGATTGAATTGAAATGGCTAACGAAAACTCAATATTGCAAAACATTGAATACTTTAATTTGTTGTACTGGATGGATGTCACCAACAATATAATATAATCATTTCCTCTGTTATATTTTTAGGATGCTTAACAGTGCTAGCTGCATTTGATGCTGCTACAATTTTCACAGCATTAATGGGGGGCATGTCAGAACCTGTAAGACTGATACCGGAAACTCGATCTTTGTTTTTTAATTCGATCAGATTAAAGTTTCCCTTGATAGGATCAATTCTTTCCTAGTAGAAGATGATCTGAGATCAAACAAGTGAACTTAATACAATCTCCAATTGGAGGTTCAGATAATAGTGTTTGACCATGGTAGAAATAGCAATTTGCCCCGTCCTTGACATGAGAGAGACCGAAATGAGAAATATATATGATTTTCCGTCGGGAGACGAGGACGGGATACCTCTTCCCGCCCCATCACATCACTGAATAATATTATAATAAATAAATATATATATTAATTTTTTAAATTAAGAATTATGTTTTTAATATAAAAAATTACTCTAATTTAAAATTTTAACTAAGAGTCGACTGGGGCCCAAGAAATTCTCGTCCCCGTCTAATTTCTCGCCAGGAATGGAACTATTTTTGATTTTTTTCATCCCGCATCGTTGCTATCCCTAGAGTATTGTGAGTTGATAGAGATAGGTGAGAGAGGAGTGAATATGAGTGGAGGACAGAAGCTAGCAGAGAATTCAGTTGGCTGGAGCAGTGAAAAAAGAGTCTGTCCTATCTGGGTAAGTCTATCCTATCTGGGTAAACATGAAGTCATAAAAAAGAGTCTAATTTAGGAAAAAATGTCTTCCAACATTTTTAATCATAAGACATTTCTCAAATTCTTTAATTTTTTATCTCTCTTCAAACTAGCTTCTTAATTATTATTATCACCAACACACCATCACTTATTATTATTATTATTATTATTATTATTATTATTATTATTATATAACAAATAATATAGTTATTTTTCAAAAAATAAACCAAACAGAAAAATTAATTTTATGACCTTCAACCAAACAAGTTAAAATATTTTTCAGAAAAATGAATTATGAAAATCATTTTCTGAAAAATATTTTTCAGGTTTCTAAACGGACACTAAGAGAAAATTACAATAAAATGACTAAATAAACCTTTAAGTTTCAAAAAGTTTCATATTAGTGCTCAAACTCTTAAAAAAAAAAAAAGTATAATTAGAATCTTGTAACTATAAGTTACCTAGTATTGCAAATTTATATTAATGTACCTTCCGTGTATATTGATGCCACGTTAATCTAACTTGTAAATTTCATTAAATATTTAAAAAAAAAATGATTTACAAAGAAAATTACACATGTAAGCCACATCAATACAACTTACCATAGTTGATAATTTACAAGTAAAAAATGTTTGAGTTTGAATTTAAAAAAAAAAAAAAAAAAGAATTCAAGGTGCAATTGACTTTCCCTAAATATTTTAGGGGTTTATTTGTTCATTCATTCTCTCTAAAACAAAATGGATTTCTTTAAAGTCTTAATCTCAAGTCTCAAATGAGAAACAACAGAACTCAAATATAGTTGTACATCACACATTATCAAAATAAAAAATAAAAAATTGGAACAATATATAATAATTCGAAAAACAAGTTTACCTCCTTTGAATAAAACACCATATGAAAATCCAAAAAACAAATAGTTCATAGTTAGAACTTAGAAGTTAAACTCTAGTCTTTGGGGAAAAAACATTACCCTCCTTTCATTTCCACAAAATGCTCAAAACAAAATTTGTTTTCCTCAATAAATTATAAACAATGCAACATCTTCAACTTAGAGTTCACCAGAAGAAACTCAAAACAAATTTGGCAAAGAATGAAAAAAAAAAGTGCATAAATTCGAAGCAGTTAGTTTCTACCTGTACTTTGCCCCATTGCCTATCAAGAGAGTATACTCCCCGTCCCCATCCTTGGTGGGGAATTGAAAACATTCCCCATCCCCGTCCTCGTGAGGAATTAGGCGGGGACGGGGATTCCCCATTCCCCGTCAACTCCTAGTCAAAATGTTAAATAATCATAATTTTTAATAATAAAAAATATTAAAATCTGATCCCTAATTTCAAAAAATAAAATACTAAATCTACAAATAAATAAAAAATAAATAAATAAATAAATAAATAAATAAATAAATATATATATATATATATATATATATATATATATATATATATATATATATATATATATATATATATATATTATTCGGGGACGGGGAGGGGTCCTCGTCCCCGTTCTCCAATTTTTTTTTAATCCCCATCCCCGTCAGGCGTCAGGACAGGGATCAGGGACGGGGCAAATTCTCATTCCAATTCCAAATTATTATTACCACCCGCACACCACCACCACTTATTATTATTATTATTATTATTATTATTATTATTATTATTATTATTATTATTATTATTATTATATAACAAATAATATATTAATTTTTAGGAAATGAACCAAACAGAAAAATGATTTTATGACCTTCAACCAAACAACTGAAAATTAAAATATTTATCGAAAAAAACAAGTCTTTTTCTAAAAATAATTTTCTGAAAAATATTTTTCAAGTTTCTAGACGGACTCTAAGGGGATGTTTGGTTCATGGAAAATGTTTTCCTCCTTAAAGTAGAGGAAAATGTTGTTTTCTTGTGTTTGGTTCATGGAATTCATTTTCCATTGAAAAATGAATTCATCAAATTTGAGGAAAACAAAATCCTTAGTTGGACCAAGGATTTTGTTTTCCATGGAAGATGGGAAGAAAAGTTGAGATGGAATGCCTATTTTACCCTTACTTTCTTTTTTAATTATATTACTCTTATTAATTTGTAGGGGCATATAGGTCTTTATACTCATTATTCCTTACAATTCTAAATCTATCCAAACAATAGAATTAGTATTCCCAGTAATTCTTTTTCCACCAACCAAACAATGAAATTCATCTTTATAGTAATTATTTTTCCATGGAATTCCAATTCCACTTCCTTTAAAATATTTTCCGCGAACCAAACAAGCTTTAAGAGAAAATCACAATAAAAGGACCAAATAAGCCTTAAGTTTCTAAAAAAGTATAATTAGAATCTTTTAACTATAAGTTACTATTGCAAGTTTATATAATGTACCTTCCCTATGTAATTTTCTTTGTATATATGGATTCCAAGTTGACCTAACTTGTAAATTTCATTAAATAATTTTTTTTTTTTTTAAAAATAGAATGATTTACACAACATTCAAATATACAAAGAAAATTACACATATAAGCCACATCAATACAACTTACCATATTTGATAATTTACAAGTAAAAAATATCTTAGTTGGATATTGTTTTTAAGAATTCAAAGTGCAATTGACTTTCCCTAAATATTTTAGGGGTTTATTTGTTCATTCTCTCTAAAACAAAACGGATTTCTTTAAAGTCTTACTCTCAAGTCTCAAATGAGAAACAACTGAACTCAAATATAGTTGTACATCTCACATTATCAAAAAAATAAGATGAAAAAAATATATAATAATTCCAAAAACAAGTTTACCTCTTTTGAATAAAACACCATATGAAAATCCAAAAAACAAATAGTTCATAGTTAGAAGTTAAAACTCTAGTCTTTGGGTAAAAAACATTACCTTCCTTTCATTTCCACAAAATGCTCAAAGCAAAATTTGTTATCCTCAATAAATTATAAACAATGCAAGCTGTAAATTCAACATCTTCAACTTAGAGTTCACCAGCAGAAACTCAAAACAAATTAGGCAAAGAATGAAAAAAAAAAAGTGCATAAATTGGAAGCAGTTAGTTTCTACCTGTAGTTTGCCCCATCGCCTCTCGTTTCAAAAGACTAACTTTCTTCGCAATGCTGTAATGGCGCTACTTTTGGTGGCGAATGATGCAAGTTCACGGATTGTTTCGCCCATTAAGTCCTTGTATATAAGCCTCTCCATGTACAACACTGTCTCCGACATCTCTACTGGATAATCTCCCCAACCATTAACAGCATCTTGTGCCAGGTCTTTTTTGAGAGTCCCGCAAATGATCTCAAACAAGTCATTGGAAATTCCCAGTTCTCGGATTCTTTGGAATTCCGACAAGACCCTTTGCAGTGATGGCTGTGCAGTAACAGAATTCGACCACGAATATACTTTCCATGGAGGCAGTTGCCTGCTCCTGTCCCGAATTTCAGTGATAGTGTCAAAGATCAGCTTCCTTTGCAGCCTAGAATCTTCTGATGTGTCTTTTCCTTTGAGAAATTGTTGTTTCTCCAAAAGTAGGAAGATGTCGGGTTCTTCGGGAAGGCAATCAGATGCCTTAAGAATGTCTGTGATATAGCTTATATCCCAGTCTACTGTTTCGTCATTGGACTTTGATTGGACCGGTGGAATTTCAGCCCTTATCTCATTGTCAAAATCACCTAATTGATGAACATTATAAAGTAAAGTTGTGAGTGATTTAAGCGGAAAATAATCATTTATATTGTTGGGCGTCGGCCGAGTTCAGCCCCTGCTCGATTCTAGACGTGGCTCTGTGGCTCTACTTATCACCAATTGGTTTTAAGTAAGGCATGACAACCAGATAGCCAAAGAACTCTGTGGTTAAGCGTGCTTGACTTACAACAGTCACAGGATGAGTGGCCCCCTGATACATTTGCTTGCGAAATAAGATGAAACCTAAGTAATATAGAGATACAGAAGAAGCTTGCATACCTAAGAATTCAATGCTTTGCTTCCTTATAGGCGAAGGAGATGGCGAGTCTTCCTTGAAGAAAGAGGAGTCCAGAACGGATACTGGGCTTGGTTGCATATCTGTGGCTGTCATCTCAACAATACTATGAATCAGCTTGTCACACCTCTCCAAAAGGTTCCTTCCTTCATTGTACTCTGTGTTTGATCTCTACCATGCCATCCAAAACGAAACATTAACACAAAAAATCATTAAAAAGAACGATAAACAACTTTAAATAAGCTTACCTCTCCTCTGGTCTGAAATGGCGCAGTAAGGCTGCTTTCAGAAATGAAGTTCGTGATTTTCTCCTTCTGATGAACCTGTGCCAGTGATTTCTTGTTCCATGATCGTTTTGTGGAATTTTGCTCGAAACAATTCCTTCTAGAGATAACTTTAGGTGACTGTAACGAAATGGACCTGGAAGATTTCATCACTACTATCTGAGACTCGTCATGGGAGAAACGGGGATCATATACGACATTAAGGCGGTTGATTTGCTCTGAAGGCTTTTTGGTATGCAGGAGCCCTTTGAGTTGCAAAGCCTCGAGAGTGTGCTTCAACGACTCGAGATCGTTAGAAGGTTCGTCAAGTCCTCTGATCCTCAATCTCTTGTTGATCTCTCCGTGGTGTGGGACTATCTGTGTAGGCTCGGGGAAAATAATGTCAGCTGTCTCATAAAAGTATTTGCGATGTTGTGGTGCCTTCCATGATGTTGAGCTTAAACCTCGATTTGAACTCCTAGACCTTCTACAATCAATTTCTACATTCGGAATGTTAGATTGCAAGTAGTTTGGTTCGTTGAACTCAAAGCAATATTGAAACAAGTCTCTTGAAACTCTCGACTCTGATGCAGATCTTCGCAGCTCAGCTTTCTGTGTAGTCTCTGAACTTGATCCCGGCAAAGCCTCGAGTCCCATCAGCTTTGCAATGACACTGGGACATCGGGGCTGCTTATCCTCATCGGTGACAACTAAATCTTTGGCATTTTCACAAGCATTAATTTGGATCTCCTTCGGGTGAAGGCTTCCCTTAGCATCAACTGTGGCTCGGCTATCAAGTGAGAGCCTCGGGGCTTCTTTCCTGATCTTCCAAGAAGACTTTCCCCCATCTTTCACTTCAAAAATTGGAAGAGGAAGCGGAGATTTTATCCATTCCTTGGCTATTTCCTGGGACATAACTATGTTTTTCGCCTCTGATGTGTCATTAACCTCCTGAAATGTTTCATACACTGGAATGAGTGAATACATATTCAATAGTTTCCAGACATATAACACCAATATTTGAAGCAACACACACCGTAAAAGGAAGGAGACGCTTAGTAGTATACAGCCTTTTGGCGGCTAAAATGTGATGCCGATCGAAAAGCTGAAGAAATCCAGACATACACCCCATCTTCCTATCATCCATACCATCCATGCTCCAAGATAAAGGAAGCAAATGTTGAATTCAAACTTGTTGCAAATTTGCAATCACCTGGTGAACATTTAACAGACTGTCTAACAATCAGTCATCAAAGGACAGATAGGTTCATTAAATACCAATACTAGCAAGAAGTAGTCCTAGTAATTACTCCCTCTGTCCCATTATACCTGTCTGTTTACTATTCATTAGTCAAACCAACTCTTTCTTCTTCGCTTAGTCAAACTTTTAATGTACTTTCTAAATATATCAACTTTATATACTAATACTAAATTTAACATTATGAAAAGGGAAAATGACACTTTTTCCCCCTAAGTTATATACATATAACACTTTTTCCCCCTGAATTATTCAAGTGGCTGTTTTTCCCCCTGAAATGTTAAATGGACATATTTACCCTTAAAATAAATATTTCATTTATTTTTTTTCTCTAATAAATTATGACCACAAGTTGGTTCAAACCAAACAGACACTGTAGAAATCAAACCGAAATATTCTAATTACAATTTAGAATGAAACCCGATATTTAGATTTTATTAAAATCGTGAACCGGGACGGCCGGTTCATGGTCCAAACTGAAAAAAATAAAATACATTTATTGTTGAATTTAGACTATTTTAAATTAAAAAATTAAAATTTTAAAAATAAAGACGGTTCAAAATCGCTAACCGGATCTAGAATCGCCGGTTCACGGTTCAGGATCCAGTTTTTTCGATTCATAATTTTAATGAATTGAAATTAAAATATTGGGTTCTGGATCTGAATCATAACCGGAAACTTTTAATTCGATTGCTATAGTGTCTGGTTCAATTCGAATCGAACCATGGTCATCCCTATGTACACACAATAATTTATTGAAAAGGAAAAATAAATAAAATGTTTACTTTAAGGGTAGAAATGTCAATAAAATATATTAGGGGGGAAAACCGCCACTTTTAAAATAATTGAGGAGGCTAATGTGCTTACATTAATAATTCAGGGGGAAAAAGTGCTATAAGTATATAACTCAGGGGAAAAAGTGTCATTTTCCCTTATGAAAAATTGAATTAAGAATAAACTCAGTTAAACCTCATTAACTGAACCAGACACATCATGATCATGTTGAGCAGAGGCTGGTAAAGGGCCAAGTTCATCAATTGGTGGTTAGGGGATTGTTGGGCAGAGGCCGGTGAAAGGCCAAGTCCAACACATGCCTCTCGAAAATGTGAAGTTGCACCTTGGCTATCGGCTATACCTTTTGGCGTAGTGATAAGCGCATGACCCATTAATCCTACAAGGGCTCTCTCTCTCTATCTCTTTGAACTAGAAGCATCTTTTGGGTTGCAAATCATTAAAGGGTAGCTGAGTCTTGGTGTGTGTATGTAATATTTCCATTACAATCCAAGCTAATTAATCTAGTTTCCCAATTTCTTGAACACACAAATAAATATAAATAAGAAAGAAGTGAAGAAATGAAGAGTAAAGGGCATTCATTAATCACAAACAAAAACCAGTGAAACTGGTAAATCCTTTTCTCAATAATGCCTGATTGAAACAAGAAATGGATGGAGAGAAGAAAATGCAAAGAGCAAATAGAGAAATGAAGAAAAGCATACTTGGAGGTTGGGGAGAAGGGGTTACACAGATCCGGCGCCATTGGGGAGAAGAGAGTTTTGGGTAGAAATGAATATAAAGGAAGCTCCAAAACAACGGTCTTTGCTGACACACTCTTGTGTATCTGGGAATTCCAACTCCACCTCCACCTCCCAAGTTGCATAGAGTGAGTGATAGCATATTAACACAAAGTCTCTCTTCTCACACACACACACACACACACACACACACACACACACACACACACACACATATATATATATATATATATATATATATATGTATAGATAGAGGATCACATGAGGTCATGTTCTCACATGAGGTCTAAGGTCAAAATCTGGCCGTTGATTATGTGGTGATCTATGGTTGTTGTTGATTTGGGTTTTTATTTTGTCATTTTTTTTTCTGTTTCCGCGTGAGTGTGTAAGGACATTTTTGTATTTGTATTTTTCTTTCCTATTTATTTGGTGTCTTTGTCGGGTGAGTTTCTCATTTTTAGGAGTGTTATACATGGTAAATAAAGATTTTTAGAGTTTATATTCTGATGTAGTAATCCACTTTATACAGTTTGTAGTGATTGTGATTTTTCCTTTCATCGTTTCATAGTTTTTCAATTTTTTTGTCTTTCTCTGCGTGAAGGGGTATGGATTCTCCAGGTTAGTTTTTCCGTTTGTTTCTTGTATATTTTTTCTGAGCATCGGGTAGTGGTTGGTTTGTGTATAAGTATGTGTCTATTTGTATGACATGCGTTCTAGGTGCCGTGGTTTGATGTTGGTTATCGAGTTTTAATTTTTATATATAAGTCTGGGGTCTTGGATTATTGATTGGGTAGTTGGTCTGGTTTTATGTCGTAGTTGTATTTGTTATTTTCATTTTTTAATAACTGCAATTGCCTTATGTTTTTCGTTTTAATTTGTTTTGGTATATTATGCTTTTCGGTATTTGTTTGACATTATGGCTTATGTGTGCTGGGTTTGTGTTCGATTGTAGGATGTTGTCGTGGTAGTTTGTGTTTTTCGGTGTAAATGGTTGTTGCATTTCGTTATAGATTGTCTGCTAATTTATGGATTTCGGTGGTGGGATGACAACATTGCTTGTGTGTTTCTGGATTTGGTTCGCTGTTAGTATATTATGTTGTTAGTTCTGTGCATTCCGGTGTACATGGCATTTGCATTTTATATTGGTTTTGAAGGGTTTTGGTTTGTAGGGGGTAGGGGTTTTCTTCGTAAAGTGCATTTTGTGTTATTTGATATGTGCAAGCAGCTTGTTTTTTTTATTTTTTTTTGGAATGATATGCATGCCGTTTTATTTTGACCGGTTTTGTGTTTGTGTGTATATTTCTGTTTGATGTTTGTGCAGCACGGTCGGAATCGCAGCACGGGTGTGTTATGGACGTGTCCCCCGATGGGACTAAGTTTTGGACGCCTTCGTGTGATGCGACGGTTAGGCCTTTTCAGGGGCAGACTTTTCCTTCTCTCGCTCACGGTATTGATTTTTATCGTCAGTATGCGTCGCTCGTTGGTTTTGATGTACGTTGTAGTTCGTTGCGTAGGAATAGGCAGGGTGTTGCTGTGAAAGACTTGTTGGTTTGTTCGCGTGAGGGGTTCAAGCAGGCGGTGCAGGGCTCTGTTGTTGTGGATGCTGCGTTGGATCAAGCACCTGTGGCTCCGAAGCGCCGGCGTGTTTCAAATAGGGTGGGGTGCAGAGCGAGGTTGGTGTTGAAGATGGGTGACGATGGGGTTTTTGTGGTTCATTTCATTGAGCTACGGCATAATCATTGTTTGTGCTCGGATGTGGCTAAGCCTTTCTTGCGGGGTAATCGTTCCATGGATGTGCAACATCAGATTTTTGTGCTTAAGTGTGCTAGGGCCAACGTTGGGCCCAATAGGTCGTTTCGTTTGGCTAGGGAGTTTGCTGGGTCGTATTCAAATGTTGGTGCGACATGTGTCGATTTTAAAAATTTGAAGCGTGATTTAATGGCATTTATTGGAACGTCAGATGCTCATATTGTTGTGAAAAAATATGCTAAGAAGGTAGATGATTGCCCGGATTATGTCTTTAGATATGATGTTGATTCTCAGGATCAGTTATGTAGGGCTTTTTGGACTGACCCTATTGCGAAGGAAAATTTTTCAGCTTTTGGAGAGGTGGTGTCGTTTGATGCAACTTATGGGACTAATAGGTAAGCCACGTGTTCTTAAAAAAAACTTTCTTGTTGTTTTTTTTTTTTTTTTTTTTTTTTTTTTTTTTTTTTATTACTGGTATGTGCAGTTTATTGTTATGTATTTGTGCAAGCAGTACGCTAAAAACCATGGGTTTTTTTTTTCGTTGGTTTGGTGTTATGTATTGCAGGTATGGTATGGTGTTGGTCCCGTTTACTGGTGTTGATAATCACAAGAGAGGTGTCACATTTGCAATGGGGTTGATTTCCCGTGAAGATGTGGACTCTTACGTGTGGCTTCTCCAGCAATTTAAAAGTGCAATGGGTTGTGTGCCTAGTTGCACTATCACTGATCAAGATCCTTCGATGCGGGTTGCAGTCCCTCAGGTGTTTGATACTACGCGGCACAGGTTTTGTATGTGGCATATTATGTCAAAGGTTGGCGAGAAGGTTGGTAATGTTCTATCTAAAGATGAAGAGTTTCGGCGCGCGTTGAATGATGTTGTTTGGTGTGAGATGTCGTCTGTGGAGGAGTTTGAGCGGGGTTGGCAGGACGTTATGAAAAAGTATAGCCTTGGTGACCACCGATGGTTTCGTCTTATGTATGATCTGAGATCGTATTGGATCCCTGCGTATTTTAATGATATTTTCATGGGTGGATTGCTTCGCACGACATCGAGGTTCGAAGCTGCGAATAGTGTGTTTGGTAGTTGCACAAACCAGCATGCTAGTTTGTCTGAGTTGTTCAACAATTTTGAAGGGGCTATTGATGCTCAACGTTTGGCGCAGGCCAAACTAAATGCCGAGTGTGAGGGTCATTTTCCTTTGTGCCAGACTCCGATGTTGATTAAGAAGCATGCGGCTGCGGTGTACACTATTAATGTTTTTTATGATGTGCAAGCCGAGGTTATCGCGGGATCTTTTTCGTGTCGTGCTGTGCGTTCAAATGTTGAAGGGCTGGTAACCCGGTATGAGGTTGAAGATGATGATGGCCCAGTACGCACCGTGAGTTTTGACTCTGGTAATGATGGTGTTGAGTGTACGTGTAACATGTTTTCATGGGTTGGGTTACTTTGTTGTCATATTTTCTGGGTTTTCAAGGATCGTAGGGTTGTTTCTATCCCTTCTCGGTATGTGATCGCACGTTGGACAAGGGGGCTTGTGTGCGACAGGTGTTGGGTGTTCAACGTGGTGGCGATTCGGAGGTAGATGTCGCAATTGGTGAAGCTTGGGCAGAATTTTTTTCGTGCGTGACCATGGCTTCACGGAGTGTTGAGCATGTTACCAAGTTGAATGCAGCCCTAAAAGATTTCAATGCTTTTTTATTGGCTGAGAATGGTCCTACCGTTCGTGCTTCTTCTTCTAAGAAGCAACTTTTTGAGTCGTTTTGCGGTGCTTCGCCAGATGGTCAGGTTAATGTTCGTCCTCCTCCAATCTCTAATAACAAGGGTGGTGGCAAACGTTACAAAAGTACAAGGGAATTAGCTATTGAAAAGTCGGGGCGTCGACAACGCCAATGTCAAACTTGTGAAAAGTATGGGCATAATAGTCGTACCTGCCCGATGCGCAACGTTGACGTTTGATGAAGGGGGTCGTATTGCTCTTTGGTTTAAATTTGAATTTAAACATGTTGCTTTGTTTTTTACTTCGTCACTGACTTGTGTTTATTTCGCATTTGATTTGGGTTTCAATAATGGATTTGGTGTGGTTTTTTTTATTGGATTTGTGTTTCTATTCTGTTTATTAATTTTATATTTCCCCTTTTTTAGATAGGATGGTCGTGGTACTCTTTTATTCCGTTTTCATTTATTCAGTAACCACTTCCATCTTGCACAGTATAGCATTCTGTGGATGCACAAAGTAACTGGAAATTTATGCATGTTTGCACATATCTTTCCTTTGAGGTTGCACAACAATTTATTTGCCTTTGTAGTTCGGTTTCGCGTCTTGTCTTGCACCCACCTTCGATGTACCCTATTATTTCAACTCGGGGGTGTCATGCGGACATGCATGTTATTAACACTACAATGTTAAGTTGACTTCTTACCAGCGCTAAGACGTCCACCTACTGTGATGCATGTTGTGTTTCTGTGTGGGTGTACATCATATTAACGTGTCAAAATCTATTTAGTGGACTACGGGTTATTTGTTTTTGACTTACGGTGGTATTATTTCATTCTTTTTCCCCACATTATGATGCCACATCCCACTTGCACAGTTCCGGTCATTGTGGTTGCACGCGGTCACTGGAATGCTATGCACAGTTGCACATATGCTCCCATCAATGTTGCACAGTATTTCATCTGCACTATACCCGTTTGTGTTTTTTTTTTTATTACCCGATTTGTTAACGTAACACTATCGCACAGTCTAGGATTGGGACTTTGACATTAAATCTGGGTTTGTGCTCTGTCTTGCACGTTCGGTTCCCTCGCTTTAACCGATCATTGTGACTAAGGGTGGTCATGCCAACATGCATTTCAATACAACTTTAAACTTAAGTTGGTTTATTACACTTGTGCCTATCACCCCTACCGTTGTTCATTTTCTTTTTCTACGTGGGTGCACACTACCTTCACGTGTCTTAATGTTTGTAGCGGTCTACGGGGTTATTTTTTGTTACCATTGTGCAGTGCTGTACTTTAGTAACCTCCGATGCACACACCCGTACATTCGGATATAATGTAATTGCACAAAGGTGTAATCCACTGAAGCACGAATTAATAAGTGTGCATTTACAGCAGAATACCTTGTTACATAAAAACCAATGCATCTACATTTCGCACAACTTTACCCAAAAAAAGTTGTCCCTTGCCAAAAAAATACTACAAGTGTTAAACCTTTCATTGGTGTCCTTAGTCATTGGTTTTAAAGTCGTCAAAAAAAATAGCACAATCACACATTTTACTTGCTTAGCGGAATTGCGTGAACACTCCCTTGCCGTACAGTGGTGAGCTTTGGAGGCTTTTGTTGTGTTGCTCATTGCATTCGCTGAGCAGGATTTTCTTCATGTACTTCGCTCGGTATTCTTCTATTTTGGCTTTGTCTCCCTTGGTCAGCCCACATTCCCAACTCTTCGCTTTCTGCCCAATGAAGGATTCCATGTGCCTCATTGTATATACTCCACTGTCTGGGCTTTCTGTTGCATCCCTCCAAGGCATTTGCATTCTCTTTGGTTCCATTTCCAGTATTTCAGCCGCCCTTTTATGGTCTTTGTTATCGTCTAGGAAGCACCCGAGCATGTCCTTCTGGTTTCATACATAGACACGGTTAGTAACTTTTATCATATCACCGGTTAGCAACACATTTATATCTATATTGCACATAAAGAGCAGTAACAGATGCACAGTTCCTATGAATAGAAGCTCTTGCCTCGTAACAGTTGCACAGTTCCTATGCTTACAGCAGTAACAGATGCACATTTATATCTATATTCTATACGCGTATGATTAGAAGTTCTTACCAAAATGTCCGGGATTTTCCCATACACTTCCTCTTTTTTCCCTGCAGAAGAGTTGTCAATGATTTGCATTGTCCTTCCCTTTAGATCGTCGGCGATGACATAGTAGTGAGAATTGTTACATATCGGGAATATGAACTGTATTGCGCATTGAATTCGATTTGGTTAGCAAGAACATTTTTAAAACATGAACACATACATTGTTACTTCTTAGTCTCTTAAGTCGTATGTTAACTTACCATGTCAATCTCTGTCCACTTCTTGTATGGGCTGAAAGTCATCTCGCTTTTCATTTTCCTTTTAAAAAGTTTGAGCTGTTGTGCTCGTGTCCCTGTCCATCCCACCACTGTTTCCATCTGTGCATGCATACATGGTCATATTTAGTCAAATACAGTCTTCATATTATTGGAGTTTTTCAAGTATTCCTGTTTTTTTTAATAAAATAGAATTTGCATACCGTTAGTTTGGTTGATGCAAAGAATCGTGCTGGATCAATGATTTTTTTTGCCCGTTCTTTGTCATTTAGTACGCATGCCCAGCTGTCTATAACTGTCGCGTTCACTTCGTTGCCCGTGTCTAGTGTCAGCAGGTCAGATCTTAATGCTCGTTGGGTGTTGAAGTGGAAGAGTTCCTCGTCCCTGGGTGGTTGCAAATCAGGTGCTTAGTAATATTATTTTTCATTAGGTACTGAATTGTAATGTGATCTTTCTTACTTGTCAGCATTTGCATTCTCGAGTATCCACTTCTTCATCTCACTTGGGGTGGGGGAGTACCATTTTGTGAGCTCTCTTCGTGCTATGCGATCATGCTCTGACGGTGTGCCTTGGTTTTGTGGTAAGTTGGTCGTCTTACCTTCATGACGTTGCACTTTCATTGGTGCCCTTTCTATGGCCCCTCCTTGGTCTCCTCTGTCCTTTCCTTTCGGGTTAATCAGTTGCTGCAAAATGTGTGTTTTAAAATTAATATTGCTCCCGTGTTTTTGGGCATTATTTGCCCACTGTGTGATTAAACTTTTCGAGACTAGTTTATTTATTTTCACAAATGTAGCTAACTTTTAGACGTCTAATAGCCATACCATGTACATCTGTCTTATATGGTAACATTGCAATGCAGTTTACCACAATGCTGCACAATCAGTCCCCAAACACTTCACAGTCTAACTACCCAAACATTTCACAGATGCACAATTATCAACTTTTTAGTTCAAACTCATTTTCACATATTTCACAAATCCACTTCCCAAACCTTTAACTATTTTTAAATCACGCAACATTGGCATTTTGTTTCCCAATATCATGCACATTATTTTAGTTTAAATTATTTTCCATAACGAAGCTTATATCGATTTAGCACGCGACATACCTCCGGAGGTGTGACGAATGAGTCTTCTGGTTGGTTTGGCGTGGGGTGCTTATCATTGCCGTCTTTTGATGCGTTCCTGGTTTCTCTTCCTTCATCTTCCTTCTGCATCGCTTCCTCACACTGCGTTTTTGAACATTAAAATCACACTGCCATTCTGATATTGTTCAAAATAATATATTTGTGGTGCATTTTACAGTTGTCCTATTTATGAACATTACTTTTTTAACTTACAGCATCATCTTCAATCACGGGGTCCTGATTTGGTTCACTCACCACCGGTACAGTGTGCATCTCCTGGGTTAAGCCTAGACTGAATGATGGCATTTCATATGCTGCCTCGGTGTCTCCCATATGCATGTTTATCTCATTTTGTACTTCTGTCTCCGTGTCGCCTAAATCAGTTTCGCCACCATCCTCACCGGTACTTTTTGATGCACTGCTCACTGCCTCACCGGCACCTTGTGTTTCGGAGTGTGCTTGTTTGTGCTTGCATTTTTCTCTCGCTGCCACATATCGTTGTCCTACTCTTAACAGCAACTTTCCCGCCTCCACTAACTTCTCGAACGTTGTAGGACTCAGTGTGCACTTTCCAGCTTCATCCGCAAGTTTAGTGAGTTCTTGCACTTTAGTTATAACCTGGTTTGCATCATCTACAAACCGTACCTCCATGGCCTGCCATTACGGGGTCCAGATTGTAAGTGCTAACACAATCAACTATCTGGGTTTTAACCAATTATAGCTCCTTGTTAAATTAACCGTATAAGTTTTTACCTTTACTGCATCTTCGGCTTCATTTTCTTGGTTTTCGTCTCTGTTGTGATCGTTCACTTGCTCGTATTCTTCTCCGTTTGTCTCAAGCACTCCTAAACCAAACCCCCCCTTTTTAATCTCCGCAAACTCACGCTCGTTTAACAGTTTTGTAGTCCACCCTATGAATGATGGTCTGTTTCGCTCGACGTATCGGCATGGGCTCACAACTTTGTCCACGTACAACATCTGCATTTTCATTTCTCATGACAACATTTGTTATTATCATAATCATATACTCAATACACAGATTACCATTCAACCACACGCCAATACCATTCATTTCTCATGACAACATTTGCCGTCGGCTTACCAGAGCTTCAGGTTCAACATCGCGACCAACAAACTATGCCAAAGACAAGCTATCATGGGGGTTCTACGACCACAGATTTGGATAATTTTTTCCACCACCCAGACTTTAGTTCAAACCTAAGAAGTATAGAAAGGAATAATGAGGGTAACAGAGAGATGAGATTTCTTGAAAGGGTGGTTGCCACTCTCTAATTTGCCAATGATTTCTCAATTTTCGCCAAAAAGGAATCAACAACCCTTTCATTCTTCTCCCAAATTGGAGAAAATGCAAGAGAACAGAAGAGCATGAAATTAGATGTTTCGTATCTCAAGGCATGCTTGGTTCTGAATTCCTTGTATTTTTCTTGGATATTATGCTTTAATTTCTGTGATTACAGAAAAATTAAGGAAGTAACTTGTTTGTACGTTTGCGATTGAGATGGACTGAGCCCGTATCTTGGCGGGGCGACTCTGATCTGTACCCCGATTGTTCGCAGCCATGGCGGCATTGGCTTCTCTTTTGCGCCAACGAAACACAGACCTAAGCTAAGTATTCTCTGATTTCTCTCCACTCTCACCACCGCTTGTTCTCCTTTGCCATTTCATTTCCCCATCTTTTTTTCCTTTTTGACATCCTTTGAATATTGGAACTAGAAAACGGAATCTTTTGTATGTCACTTAATATCATAAACTGTGGGATTAAATGCATTAATATTTTATGGCAGCTGACATGTGGTGGATATGGCTAAGTGTTGCAATTCAACCTCTTATATTTTCTGTGTTTGCAATTCAAATCACCACTGCTGCATTTTTTTAAAAAAAATTTTAAAGAAAGAAGAATAAGAAGAAAATTCAGAATATTATTTTATTGTTCTAGCTTCAAGATTCTGATGTCCT